ATATATACCTTGGAGGAGAAGAAGGCAAAGGAGACAACTTGTTGGCAAGATTAATAGCATCATCAATTGTATTAATGATGTGATTAAAACACAAATATCTACCATAGCTTGACACATCGTCATAGACACAAATATGTGCATCCACCAAGAAATCAACATCAACACTTACAAAAACTCCATTTTCATACATCTCTTTAGCTCCTTTTAGATAAGGATTTTTGATGTTTAAATCATGATCCATTAATAATCCTGAGTTTATTGACACCATGTTTATGCCTCTATCCATAGCTAAAGCCCATGCTGTTTTCTCTGCTAGTGTTTTTGATAAAGCATACCATAACTGTCCATGATAATAAAAACAACTTTTATTAATTAATAAGTATCAAATAATAATGTTTGAAGTTTGCTTGCATGCACAAGCAATATGTCAAAGTTCAAATAAAAATTGTAACTTCATATGATTAATGTTACAAAAACTTATTGATTATGCCTTCAATTGGAGTCTCAAAGTTGTCTATATGTGCATTTGCCCCTCAGATAAAATTTGTAACTTCATATGTGACTTTTTATAACTTTAATCGCATTTATCTGAAGTGGCTAAAGTTAACAAAAACAACTTATAAAACTTTGGTTATGCTTTAAATAGGAGTCCAAAAATTGATTATATTATGCACTTGCCCCTTAAAGGGAAAAATGCGTCCTATCAAAATATATCACATAAATTTGGAATGAAATTTTTTTTTGTCATACCTTGTATTTACGACAAAAATTGATGTCACTCCAATGTTTTTCATCAAGATCAACATGAGATGAAGATTTTTTATCATCAAATCCCCAAATAATTGCTGTTGCTGAGGAAGTGAATATAACTTTTTCTATAGTGTCTATTTGTGCACATGCTTCCAATACATTATGTGCTGCCCTTACCTCTATTTCTGCCATATATTCCTGCACATGTTTAATAAAAAATAAATTTGTATAATTTGTAAGTAAAATTGAAATATATTAAGAAATCGAAAAAATATAATACACAATTCATGTAAATTGAGTAATTTTTGTCTCAAGTTTATATAAATATATATATTAAGAAATTCATTAAATAGTTATTATAAATATCTAATTGTAAGTCATTATAAAAAATTTAACTTTAAATTCTTAATTCACCTTAGAAAAGGTATAGTCCCAAATTGATTTTTTTTTTCTTTTTGAAAATCCTAAAAAAAAATGTGCACACCAAACTTTTCATTATTAGCTTAACTAAAACAGGACAAACTTGAATTAATTAGTTGACCAACTATTTCGATCTTCCAAATCATTCTACACTAATGTTCTTCTTCTTCTTATATGTACTTCTTCTGTCATAAAATAAATATTGTTTTAGTAAAAAATAAATTCCCAAATAAATAATGATGCTTATGTTGGATAGATATCTAATAAACAGGAGTAACTTTATAAATTATATCTTATATTTATTGTTTTATTTTATGAACGTGAAATAAGTTAAAGAAACACTTATTTTGAAACTCAGAAAGTATGATTATTCAAAAACAAGATTTTACTGCATCATATTATAAAAATCTCTAAAGACTGTTTGTTAAAGTTATAATTATTTATTTTCTTACTCTTTAATTTTTGATAATGCATGTATAGAATATTAATAGTGTATATAACTCCAACTCTGTATGAGAACGCACGAGGCATATATATATAGGCTCAAATAATTCATGAGAAAGCATTGTTTATCAAAAATTAAGTAATTCATCTATTTTCTTTTTAAAACTTTAAATTTTTAGATGAGATCGATCACATAACGCAAGAGTATAAATAATCAAATAATTATAAGTAATGAAATTGCAACATTTAGACATGAAAAGGGCATAATGGGGAGAAAAAAATTAAAGGAGAAAGGAGAGAACATACATCATAAATAGTGGAGTGATCCTTGGGAGGCTCAAAGGAGTAAAAAAGACAAGAACACCCTTTCAAAGCATCAATTATGCTATGGTAATCAAAAAGGTCCAAACAAAAAACCTTCAATCTCTTCTTGTCACATATTGACATCAACTCAACTTCATCACCTACACAATATCTCAATACCATCGTGAATTTGTCGTTAAATAACTCATAGCTAATAAATTTGTCTGATAATTCATCGCTAAAAGAGATTAGAAGCAAGGAATTTTTTTTTATTTAGCTATGTGTAGAATTTGTTCATCACTAATTCTTATTTTTGTATAGTGAATGTTTAGTTAGTTTGTAATATATGCAAGTCTGAAATTGAACTAATCGATCTTTGTATCTATTAGTAAAAAAGAATGCCTTTTTAGAAAAATACTCTTTTCGAAAGTTTTATAAATATACGAAGTCCAAACTCTCCTAGAGTATTTCTAAGTTACAATACACAATATCTTTGTTCAATTCCCAAAGAAAATATAGGCAATATCTCTTTAAGAAAAATGAATTAGACATGACGATATCTTTCTTTTATCAATTTCCTACCCTAGTTTTCAAAAAAAAAAACAATTAATCCAATTGTTGGTGAATTTAAAAAGAAAAAAACTAACCATGATTTTGAATAGCAGCATGGACTGTGAAGCCCTTTTCGAGTAGCCGAATAATCAAGCTTGAGCCGAACTGAGTAGAAGAACCCATAACACAAACAGTGTTGGAGATGCAACATAAAGAAGTTGGAGACATTAGTAATTATTAGGGAATAATATGGCTAGCTAGCTATGTTATGGACTTGGCTAGTATATATGTATATGAAAAAAAGGTATGTATTAGAAGAAATATGTATATGTACTCCATATATAGAGAGAGACAAGTTAAGCTAAAGAAGCAATTCAAAGAATGTGGGGTTTTAATAGATGTTTGACAAGTGGTTGTTGGGCAGATTGAGTTAAATTTAAACGGATTAAAATAGGCTTGTTAATAAATGTCAGGTTATTAACTCGTTCAAAAGTTACTTTGATTGAGATTGAATGATTCAAGATGGACTAGGGCTTAGGCCTAATTGTAGATCAATTTTTCGCCCAACGCTTATCAAATTTTAATTTTTATATTTTTATACTAAAAGCCAAAGAAAAGTTGGTGCACTAAGTTCTCGATATACACATAAATTAGTCTTAAACTCATAAATTTCAAATACTAATTTTCCACCCCTATTGTATATATGAAGTCACAATCTTGTTGATAAAGTTCATAAGATAAAAGTTTGGTATGGACGTGGCAATTTGTAGTAACGTATAGATTATAATATAGAGAAACAATATGACCACAAGAAACACCTACTTCCAAATTTTGTCTTAACCAATAAAAATAAAAATAGCTGTAGCTACTTGTCTTGTCTTGTCTTTGTTAACGTTGTTGGTTTGTTGTACACGTTATAAGACATTCATTTTATCTTGTGGTTGCATACAAAAACATTGGGAAATAAAAATTTTATCCTTAAATGAGAAGTATATAAGTAACGATAACAATAATATATTCAATACAATCTTATAAATAAAATCTAAGAAAAATAGAATAATGTACGTAGTTTTATCCCTACTTTTACGAGGATTCAGAGTCTATTTTCAATAAACCCTTGATGCAAAAAGAAAGTATCTGACATAGGATTGTGAAACAAGAGACAACAAAATAGCAAGATACAAAACGATCTCTAACTATATTGAGAAGTATATATATACAAGTAACAACAACAACATGTAATCTCATAAATAGAGTCAGGGGAAGGTAGGGGGTGTACACAAACTTTACCACTACTTTTACAAAGTAGAGAGTCTATTTTCAATAGATCCTCGACTCAAAAAAGAAGTATCCGCTCTAGGATTATAAGGGGGAAAAAAAGGCAACAAAATAGTAAGATACAAAATAATCTCTATAACTATATTGGGATAAGTCTAATTCCTTAATTTGACATAGTAAAAATATTAAGTGTGTAATATATGTAATAATGTGAAGTTCTTGTTTAATAAGAGAGCATATATGCAAATTTGTAGTTCCATAAATGGGGACAACAAGGAAAGGCATAAAACGCATTCGTTGAATGAGATTTATCAACAAAATCTGAAATTGTCTTTATAGCGTGTAAAAGATAGAAAATATGTCAAAAAAAAATATTCATGCATTATTTTACATTAATTTTAATTTGTCATTTTCTATTTCTTATCTATTTTTCCTTCTTCAAATCTCTACATTGTTGGTTAAAAAACACTAAATTAACTAACTTAAATTCATATCCTTAATATAAAAATAAATAAATCTAATCATAAATCATGATTTAATTTTAATGTAAACTCAATTAAATAATATCACAAGTTTTAAAAGTCTTCTGATTTATAATTTAATTTATTTTTAGAAATTATATTTTAATTTACCTATAAGTTCTCGACTTTATTATACTTAATTATATTTATTAGGGCTGTTTGGACAAAAAAAAAATTCTTTCTTCTTGTAAAAAATAATTCACAACATTATTTGATAATAGAATTGACCAATTTTTTCATGTAATTTTTTTTTTCCATCCACAAAACTATATCAAACCATATTACCCAATTTTGGGCCAACAAATGTTGGAGTTGGTTAATGGGTATCTCAGTAGATTCAGATCTTGAGTTCTCTATAGCCCAAAAAGGGGCCCATTGTATTTGTGTATGTATATTGTATGTATACTTTGGGTGTGTTTGATATAGGGTAAAAATTTCATGTTCTCATCAAAACTCCTTACTAATGCCAGTCAGATTCCTTAAAATGCATGGCTGCATATACACAAGTGTAGCAGCCAAAATCAATCAAAACACATGCATAACAACACCAATACTATAATGCAGCAATGATAAGCAGATAAGTAGTGCATAGCGTGGGTGAACAACGCAGTTGTTCGAAGTTTCACAATAAGCAGCATTAATGGTCCCTTCTGTTGTGTTGAAAATGCCAATTCCAGTTCTACAGAGGCTATGGTTACTCAAGTTACAGAGCCAAAAAAACCCCAAGCTATCTAGTATGCCAAAGATGTGTACACCAGAAAGAATGATACATTCTACACTTCTTACCTGGCGTAGCTTGTTACATGGGTCGTGAGTGGGAGCTTAGCTTCCGTCTGGGTATGCCACCTTGGATTGCTGTTGCATATTCAGCTCCTGTTGCAACTGCTACTGCAGTTTTCTTGATCTACCCAATCGGTCAAGGAAGTTTTTCTGATGGTATGCCTCTAGGAACGTCAGGTGTCAAAAATCAGTTAGTCACCATTATAGAAAGAGGTGAAATCCAGTGGGCGTCAAGCAACCCCAAAAATTTAACACTTTCACCAGTTCAAGTGTAGGTCCTTGGTTAGCTTACCAGAGTCCGATTAGCAAATTATGTCTACGTGCCATATCAGACACTTTGGGTACATAGTCATAATTGCTACTCTTTTGTGGCCAAGCTACCTATCACGAAAGACACAAAAATGTCAACTGTTATCTGATTAGATGCCCTTCGAAAGTTGAACAAAAATATTCAGATCAGAACCTCAATGCCAAATATACTACCTGTCCTTGATAGCTTTCAGGAAGATCAGAACACTTTCTGCCACAAAAAGAAATCACAATAAATTTCAGATAAAGCAACATCACAAGACTGCTGAGAAGTAACCAATGCAAGTCAGAGAAGAGAAGAAGATTGAAATATAGGGCAGTGGATCTACAGATCTGAAGGTCAATGTACCATCATGCATCGTAGCCTCTGTATAATGCTTAAAACTGAAGAGTATTTCTGAAATGCATTTCAATTAGCTCAGATTTGAACTTCTTAAATCGTAACTTCCCCTCTTAAGGAAAGAGCACATCACTGAACATTATAAGTTTCCCCTGAATGACCAAATATCTGATTTAATGCATCAGATTGGAAATCTATTAATGTATCCATTGTTTCTCTTTCCTTCTTTGCTACTGTAATCTCTGCTCCTGACGCCTACTTATAATTTTGTGCATAAACGTAGAAGAGCAGCCTAACGAATCAATTCTCATACAGCTAAAGGATAAAAAGAAAAGGAATCCCTAGGAAGTCATCCATGACACTCTATATTTAGAAACTGACCTGTTAAGAAAATGAAAAAATTTAAAGGAGAAGCCACTCATACAAGGCAAGAAGAAGAAAGAGAAAATACCTGTACCATTTTCTTTTCTGAAGAATGCGAATGTATTTTACCATTTCCTTTTCTTAAAGATTGAGAATATGCACATACTCAGCATCAAAACAAGGAAATTAGTTGCTCTAACTTCTGATACATCATCTTTCTATTCAAGGGTCGTACAGGTCTTCATCAACGAAAAATCTATACAGTGAGAGCAATTTCAGCTAGTCAAGTCGAGGATCAAAATCAATTGTGCAATTCTCCCTCCTTCCTGCAAAGAATGTCTCCATACATATTTTGTGTCATTCCAGGAAACAAAAGATGCAGTTAAAAGGAGTACATAACCAAGATGCTCATGTGACATGTGAGATACAAGCATGCAGAGTATCTAACTGGCTGTAAGTGCACACACTAAAAGTATAGACATGGTTGTTCATAAAGCTAATTTTTTTGTCTAGTATTACATTTCACAGTTTCCCAGCACTAGGGATTTTGCCAATTCAATCCATGCAACTCAATTAAAATGCCATCTTGCTCCCATGTCAAAATCATGCAAGAAAACTTTTGCCAATTCAATATCGCACAGTTAAGCAGCTAAATAAGAAAGTTATCTCGTCAACAGAGTCATATAAATGCAATCGATATCAAGCTGAAATCATTTATCATTACTGTCTAACCAATGGAGTAGCAAACAAAAAAGGCAAAGCCTTTATGTTATTTGCATCGTCAAATAACAGAAATGATGCATGTCAAGTGGAAAAATGTCTATAAATTAAAGATAATGGAGCCTAAAAATGTCAAGCTAACTCATAATCCAAAACCTACTTCTTCAGGTCCTTGTGTCCAAATATGTACTCAATATGTACTCCCTCCATTTAAACTTATGAGTTCGTTATAGGAATGACATGGCATGTTTAAGACAAAAGATCAAAGGGTGTTTTTGGTATGTTATGCAAACCTTTAGTTTAAGACAGATTCAAAAGTCTACTTTACATTCTTAAACTTCGTGTCTAGTCAAATTAGTATACATAAAATGAAACAGAGGGAGAGAGAAGTAAATACAGTGACATCAACTCACTCGGTCTAAGACTTGCATAATAAGTCAGCATGATAAACACGAGCTATTTTCTGAGATATTTTTGTCAAAACAATGACCGAAAACAAGTGTCTTTCCTGAAAATGAATACATTGATAAAAGATATTAAAAGTGTAGTTAGAACCCTAAGAGACATATTGATTCAATAAATAGAATCCCACGCCATAACTCATTTCTTTTCCTTATTGTACACATGCATATCCTCTTAAAGGAAAAGAAACCTTTACCAAACGGAAATGATGATATACTCTAAAATGCATCGTAAAAACGGTCTCATGGACCAACAAAAACTTAAGAGAAAGAACAAGATAATGGAAGATATACCTTCTCCAACCATAACAAGTGAAATGCTCCCATAAATTAGGTGGCAAAATGAATGTCACTCTCATGCAGGTCATTCAAAAGAGATTCATGGGATCCGGTTTTTGTCAAGCGTTTTTCTTTTCTTTCTTTTCTTACCAAAAAAACATAGGAATACACCAGAGAAGTAAAGTGGCAGAGAAAAGGAGTGTATAATGCAAAGGCTTGCAGATCCACAGAAGATCATCTACTCTTAAAATTTTGGTGGAGTGCAACTACAACGGACAGGTTTCTGTTCAT